GAAATTTTACGTTTATAATCGTAGCAACAGACCTCAGATGAGCCCAGACGCTCTGCGGCTCTTGTTATCAATAAGCTGCGTTTCAGATCGAAAGCCCTACGAGGCTTCATGATTACATTATATTACCTTTTATGTTTTTCTCGCGTCACACACGTACGCATCGCCTAGTCTCGGGTTACCCTCCCCCCCCATGCATAACATGCATACAGCATGCATACCCTCAACTAATATCCTTGTGCAGAAGAAACCTCGTTCATTCCTGGCTTATATGCATTGCGGTGTCCGTGCGTGCGAGCAAGCGTGCGTGCGTGCGAGCGTGCGTGCGTGCAAGCGTGCGTGTGTGCGAGCGTGCGTGCGTGCGTGTTCGAGCGTGCGTGCGTGCGTGCGTGCGTACGCGCGCCCGTCTACCTAATGCCTAACCTATACTATGCTTGGTGGCCATCCCTATAAGATCGCTCGAGTAGTTGCAGAGCGTATAGAATGAAGTGCTGAACATTATATAATGAATAAATATGAATAATAAGAATGAATATCAGATATATACGTACTCATTCGCCGTGTATTCTCTCGCTGTGTTTTAGCAACAACCCACTGCTACAGCGACAGAACATTGAGACAGGCGGAACAGTGGCGACACACGTGGCGAGAACTCTGAAGCCTTGCTGCCTGGCTGAAGTCAAACCTGTGAGTTATCGCTATCGCGCGTTAAGGCTAGGGTTAGGGATAGGGGTAGGGTTTGGGTTAGGGTAATGTTGAGGGTTGGGGTTAGCGATAGGGTTAGGGATAGTTCTATGGTTAGGATTAGGGTTATATTTAAAGTTATAGTTAGGGTTAGAATTGTAGTTAGAATTAGGGTTAGGGTTAGGATTTGTGTTTAGGGTTAGGGTTAGATGTAGGGGTAGAGTTAGAGTTATGGTTAGGGGTAAGATTAGGATTAGGGTCAGGGGTAAGATTAAGATTAGGGGTAAGGTGATGGTTAGGTATATATATATATATATATATATATATATATATATATTATATATATTTATTAGCTCTTGATACATATATATCAAGAGCGTATAAAGAAGGTATAAAGAATATATATCAAGCGTCCTTCTTTATCTGCTCTTGATAAATATTATATATATATTTATTAGCTCTTGATAACATGTAGATCCATAGTTGATAAATACCGTAAAGCTAAGTCAGGCTAACGAACTTTTTTTCCTGTACGACATTCGAGCATCCGTAAAATCGATACAAAAAAACCAGCCAGCCAACAAACTAACATAATATATTAAAAACGTAATACGTAACACATAATACGTACTCGTAACGGTACACCGCCATATTATACACTACGTCAAACGTGTACTGCTTGAGCAATGGTGACTCTGTTAGCTTGTAAGTGAAATGGAGATTTTATGGGAGGGGGGTACTGGTGCAATATACCAGAACTCAATTTTTGTCTATCGTTAGCTTAGTTTACAAAATTCGGGGCATTTTATATGAAAGTTTTTCCCACAAACTCTGTCATTTTTTCTTGATAATTAACAATAATTATGTCATTTGGTAAGCTCAAGAGTGTGTTAATTTAATGAATAAGTGATGTAGCCAATGGCAGAAATGATGTAAACTACCTAAAGATTCATCTTTCCATTGCTTGAGCAATGGTGACGGCACGCTCTGTTAGCTTTGAAGCTAGAACGCGGGCAGGAAGGCTACTATATACTATATACTATATACTA